AGCCCAATCCAGCTTCACAAGGTTGTTGTTGTGGGGAAAATAGAAGGGTGTGTTGGATATGTTTGCTCGAATTATTTGTAAAAATAATAAAGGCAGGATATAAATAAAAATCAGTAACCAGCAAGTTGTTGTTGGGCCTATTGGAAAGTGTAAAGTCTTTCACAGATGCTGAAGCTCTTGAAAAATAGTGGGCCTTCTATTCCAAGTCATCTGGGGGTAAGGGTCTCCAACTCCCGGACCACGGATCAGTACTGATCCATGGCTGGTTAGGAACTGGGCTGCATAACTGGAGATGATCGGAGGGCGAGTGAGTGAAGCTTCATGTGTATTTGTAGCCACTCCCTAGCACTAGCACCGGGGTAGGCAACCTTGGCTCTTTTATGACTCGTGGACTTCAACTTCCAGAATTCCTGAGCCAGCCATGCTGAGGGGAAAGGGAGAGATTTCCAAGCTGAGCCACGCTGGCTCAGGAATTCTGGGAGTTGAAGTCCACGAGTCATAAAAGAGCCAAGGTTGCCTACCCCTGCACTAGCATCACCACCTCAGCTCCACCTCAGCTAATCAGTCATTAGCTACTGATAGGCACGTGAATTCTACTATAGATTGCACACGCTAGGGATCTAGGTTACACACTTTTCCTCTGTGCCCCCCCTCCCCTGTTCTGTGGAAAAATTGTCTTCCATGAAACAGGTCCCTGGTGCCAAAAAGGTTGGGGATCGCTGATTTAGGCTGTATAAAATTGGCAAGAGCCATTTTTCAATACATTTATCAGTTTCAAAACTCTTATATTTCAGGAATGGTGTGACATTCTTTCACAAGGAATAGAATCATCCAGTATCTTGATTTTTCCAGAAAGCCTGGCTTAATGACATTGTGCCTCTTTTGTAAAATTAAGAAAAAGGCTTTTGCATTTTAAAAAAAGTTGCTTCTTTTACCACTGATTGGGGATTCCTGTATTGCTAATGAGCAGAAAAAATATTTGTTTTATGAAGGGCTGAATCATTCAACAAAAAAAATATGATTTGGTTTAAACACTACAGTGGTTTTTTTTTTTTTGAGTAGTAGCAAATATTTTCTTGCCATGTGCCCTTTCCATTAAGACAATATTGTAAAGTCTGAATTACTAGTGTTTTTGATTGGTTTTCCCCAAGAGATTTTAAAAGAAAACTAAAGATACTCCCTTCGAAAGCAAATCAAGTAGTTTAAAAGGTGCCCCATGCCTGGATTTGTGGAAAGAAAAAGGGAATAATTAATCAACAATTAGGCAATTCTATGCCTAATGAAACTGAAGCGAAGCCTCTCTACACGTATAAGATCAAACCCCTTAGGTAAATCTACCAATCAATTAAGGGATCCTAAAAAATGCAATTTTCATAAAATACTTTTCCTCTTATTATAAGAATGTTGAATCAGATTGCTCTTCCTCCTTTGTTTTAAATGGAATGGGTCTGTTCCCTGGCTAATGCAGCCATGAGCCAAGAACTCCCATTAAGCAGCATAAGTAATGAATCCAATGGCAGCTGTTAGGAGCTGTGCTCTTTTCATCTCAGACAGCAAAAGACTTAACAGTACAATAGGTACAAGGAAGTGCCAGAAATATATTGCCCTGCAGATCTCTTCTATTTATGAAACCCCCTTCGTCAGACATCCATCTTTCCCTCTTGTAGCAAATCATGTGGTCTGGAATGTGGTAGCTGAAAGCTGAATTCTTTATTGACACAGGAAGATAAACAGAACCCAGCAGCCCGTCCCAAGAGGAGATGGTACCCTGCTTCAGAGAAGAATTCCTCTCTCCCTCCCCCTTCCCCCCCCCTCCATCAAGCAAACACCAAGGGTCCTTCTCATCCTCAAGACTTATACAAGGTGAAATCTGGAGTCCAGAGGCATTCCCAGGAAGTCCAAGGGATTAGTGAAGTTTCAAATAGCTGAACCACGAATTCTGAAGTTTCAAATAGCTGAAAGCACCCAGTGTTTCCTTGAATCCAAGTTAACGTTTCACATATGCAACAGTTCAGAACGGGGTGTTTTGAAGTCCTTTTTATTCAGCTCAAAATGAAAGGAATATCTAGCACGTAAAATATCTCAGAATTCAGCTTCAGAAAAAGAGGCAATTCCCCCCCCCCCCGGTATTTTTACACATCAGGACCACAATTTCATGGTGTTCTTTACCCTCCTATTCTCTTATGGCTTTTCTTTCTTTCTTTCTTTCTTTCTTTCTTTCTTTCTTTCTTTCTTTCTTTCTTTCTTTCTTTCTTTCTTTCTTTCTTTCTTTCTTTCTTTCTTTCTTTCTTTCTTTCTTCTTCCTGTCTCTTTAGCTCAGGGACAGGAGATTTGTTTCAATTTGAATGAGGGCAAAAATGGAGAGCTGTTTAAAATAAACAGAAGCATATGGCTGTAGGATCATCCATTTATTTAGGAAATGTATTCGCTATCTTAATCCAACTGTATTCTAGACAGCCTACCATGTATAGAGAATAATGCATACTAATACATATTATATATAGAAAATAATATATACTATATATATTGCTCCTGGGGAGGAAAGCTATGGCAAATCTAGATAGCATACTAAAAAGCAGAGACATCACCCTATCAACAAAAGTATGTATAGTCAAGGCCATGGTTTTCCCAGTTGCAATGTATGGCTGTGAAAGTTGGACCATAAGAAAGGCTGAGCACAAAAGAATTGAGGCCTTTTAACTATGGTGCTGGAGAAGACTCCTGCGAGTCCCCTGGACTGCAAGGTGATCAAACCGGTCAGTCCTAGAGGAGATCAACTCTGACTGCACTTTTTAGAAGGCCAGATCCTGAATTTGAAACTCAAGTACTTTGGCCAACTAATGAGAAGGAAGGACTCACTGGAGAAGAGCCTAATGCTGGGAAAGATTGAGGGCAATAGAAGAAAGGGACGACAGAAAATGAGGTGGCTGGATGGAGTCACTGAAGCAGTAGGCGTGAGCTTAAATGGACTCCAGAAGATGGTAGAGGACAGGAAGGCCTGGAGAAACGTTGTCCATGGGGTCGCGATGAGTCGGACACGACTTCGCAACTAACAACAATATATATATACACTAATATATAGTATATACTATATAACAATATATATTCTAATAACAATAGCACAATACTATAAATAGACAAAATATAACTGCAAAAAGACCCCAAACTTATATGGTTCCAGATGGAGGAGTCTCCATAATCTGTATTTTATCTGGAATTATTATTATATTTTTATCCTGCCTCTAATATTGGAATGGAAGCCTGGTGATATTGGGTCTAAAACAAGAAACCAAGAGAATAAAAAAAGATGCTATTAAGAAAGATCCAAATTTATACACATGTGTGTGACTTCTGGTTTGTTGAGGCATTCCCAGACTTTTGTTTGTATAAATCCAAACTGCATAACTTTTGTGTCAGTTTCATTTATTTTGTGGGAATGTAGTAGTATACAAAGAGTACCTCTTTGGATTTCAATTATCTCATCATCCCAAATAACTCTCTGGAGATAAAAGGACAAAGTTATATGCTTACTAAGTGAAATCGTGAAGGTGACAATCTCAAAAGAATGCTGGGAATATTAACTGAAGTGGAAAAGATTCCAAATCGTGTTTGACACAGCAAATTACCTTATAAATCCTCAGTATCAAATCCCCTGTCCCTCAGTTTACAGTTTCATCAACTTTATCGCTAGTAATTGAAATAAAATGCCCAAACTATTAAAACAGTTTAAAAACATTTTAGAGTTTATTTTAAATGATTGCAGTTAAAACACAGCAAAACCTAATAAAGCTCATTTTAATCATTATTCTACAAAACTGCAAAATACAGAAACGGCTGAAGCATTTTATAGTAAAAATAATAATAAAAAGGGACAAAATATGATATACAGGAGGAACAAAGCAAAAGCCCCTTTGATTAAAATGAACTGGATTCTCTAACTCTTTGGAGCAGATGATACATTTAGAATTTTGAAAAAGTCTCTCTCTATAGAATGGCTGCTATAGTGTGCAAAGCCAGTCACAAGAAACCCAATTTACAGCAATGATGCTGAAAATAAGCAGATTGATTTTTCATTCTACACATTTACACACTCACTCACTCGCCCTTTATTTCTGCCACATGAGATCCATTCACCTGTGTGATGCATGCCTCTCCCATGTTGACTTAATCAGGCACAAATATAAGGAAATATAAATCTGTGTAAATTAACCCTTGAAAAGCTTATCACATTTTTGGCTGCAACTGTATGGAAAAAGCCCCTGCAGTTTTCTTGTCAAGATTTCAGAAGTGGTTTGCCATTACCTACTTCCTAAGGCTCAGAGAGAGGGACTGTCCCAAGGTCATCCATGTTTAGGCAGCACTAGAACTCACAGCCTCCTTGTTTCTAGCCTGGTGCCTTAACCACTAGACCAAACTGATTATTAAAAATTACTATGCTAATATATAGTACATTCATCTTTCATTTCTGTTGTCTTATTATCTTCTCCCATGAAATGTCAGTTATAACGCATGATGGTACATCTATAAGACATTAGGTCTTAGTACCTCTAATAACATTTTAAATTATAATTATATAGGGGCAAATAGTACTAGCAAAAAATAGTGGAATTGAATGCATATTTGTTTAGATACTATTTTAATTAAGGCCACAGGCGTGGAAAAAATGCCATCACTCAAGGATAACAGGGATGAGGAATCTACACCTCTCGAGCAACTGGATTCCAACTCCCATAAGCCCCAGCCACATGTGCAATGGAACTAGAATGCAGTCACTGGAGGCCAGTGTTCTGTATTTAAGATTTAAAGAACCAGAAAATGTCTTCCTCCCTTCCTTTTCAGCAAGTATGAATAATTCTTGCTTCTCCTCCTCTCCACTGTAACCACTAGTGAAAAGCCAGTCGGGAGGAACAGACGAGAAAACATTGTTCCACGTTTGTGTCAAAATATATATCGGTGATTGAATATCGACAGAAACCCTTGGAGAGCTTTCCAGAAAGTTTGCCTAAGACAATTAACACCAATGAAAGTCTACAACATACTGTGAAACAGCTGGCACAAGAATTCATATATCTCTTAAGAACGAGCTTTCAGAGCCATTCTGTTTCCACAAGCTCTTTTGAAAGCAGAACATGCTTTGAGTTTTGGTTAGTTTTCCTTCTCTGGTGCTCCAGAGTAGTGCAAAGGATAAACATTATTTCCAAAAGAATACACTTCCCGCACAATGATTTGTGTTGCCGTAGGCAGCTCTCTTTAGAACAGTGAATTCCACTGACTGGAAGTCTGCAGAGGACAGTGACTCAAGAGTTGACAAGAGTGGTGTGCAAAAGGGAGCAGTAAGCAGCAAACTGGATTGTGCTCCAAAATTTGATACGTTGGAACACTAGAGACTTCTATTATGTAATTAATTGCCTTATTCATAGAATAGCGTTGAGGGTTCCATCTGACATAATCTTTCATTTATAATTCTGCCTCTGTCCACCATCACCTCCCCCAAATGGTGATGGAGGAGAAGATAATAGCAGAACATTGATTTTTTGATCAGAAAGTGAAAAGCCATCCATCTTGATGCCAAAGGCTGGTGCTTTGGTTCGCGGTATGCCCAATTCCTCTTTATTTTCATTAAAGGAATCAGGCAGGAGGTACTAAGAGAGGACCATCGCCTCTGGCTCTTCTATGCAGTCCAGAAAAAGCTTCTGGTTTCCTTTCATTCCCTTCCACCAGTTAATTTATGGAACAAGTCTTCATCCAGCGTCTCATTCTGGTCTTTGGAACGGGTTGACAGGAAAATATAGCCGCCAATGTATTCGTGAACCACCTTGCAATTGGCACTCAGGCAAGCAAACGCAATAGAAACATTCTGGTCGAACTCAATGGCCACCTGAAGGGGAAAGACAAAGATGCCAAAGCAATTGAAATACCAAGAATATAAATGCTGTGGTTGCAATTTTCTTACCGCTCTATATTCACATGAGGCACAAACATCTTAAGGCTGAGATTGAGAAATACTGACCTGTCCTAATGGCTCACTTTTTAAAATATTGTATTCCAGGGAAAGCATTCCTTTTTCATTTTCCACCAAGCATAAGAAGTAGCAGAAAAGCGACGCTGCTTAATCCTATTCCTTGTTGGGCCTGCTGACTTAAAACCTCCCTCCTTCAGTCTTTCCACATTTTCCGGGAAAGACTTTTTTTTTTCTCTGCAGGGAGAAAAATCAGCTTTGAAAGGATAATTTTGAGTGGACTCATGGCAGGTCTCCTGGAATTGTTCATATACCTGCTGTAACCAGGTACATCACAAATCATCACAGAAACATACATTTTAAAAGGAAAAGGCATCATAGGCCTTTTTTCTTTTAAAATGTCTGCTTCTGTGATGATTTCCCCTTCGATATTGGCAACTTCTCCCACAATATTGCAACTCAATAGATAGAAATCAAACCTTGGGGATCCTGTGTATGCCTTGTCTCTATTATGCCTAGTTTCATCCTAATTCAAAACATAAGCTTTATTTTGAAACTTTCTCCTAAGTGCAGATACATTTTTACTCATAGCAATAATGAGAAAGCATTTAGATCAGTGGTTCTCAACCTTTTTAATGCCGCGACCCCAACCGGTTGTAAGTCGAGGACTAAACCGGTCGTAAGTCGAGGACTAAACCGGTCGTAAGTCGAGGAC